TGATTAGATGGTGTTGTTTGGTAATTTTGGGAAAGTTATGGTTTGATTTGAGGTTATAAAAATGGGGTTTTCAAATGTTAAACTCCATGTGTATGTGAGACCTTGAAAAATGGAATTATTGCTGTTAAATTGATAAAATTGAACCTTAGGGTTGATATTTGAAAAAGGGGGATAATGCCCTAATTATGTTGAATAATTAATTTGAATAATTAATTTGGGGAAATATGAAGTTGAGTTGGGAATCATGAAATTGGAAAATTATGAGATTGAATGGTGTAGTTAGATAAATAAATCACTTACCTATGAAAATGTTGATATTTTATCTGTTTGATGAATTCACTATCTGTTTAGAGATAACTCTTTCGGGCTATTGGTGGAGGATAGTCTTGATTGTTGTAGACACTGTATGCTGATTAGGGAAAACTGAAACTAATCACCTGGAATGAGTCATTAAATATGACGGTTGGAATAATATATCGAATATATGTATTGGTTGATCATTGTATATGATAAGTGTTTAAATACATTGTATATGTATATTGTTTGGGAGGAGATAGGGGATGTACTCCATGGTTTGAGAGGAGATAGGGGATGGACTCTCAAACCTATTTGGGAGGAGATAGGGGATGGACTCCATTGATAACTAAGTTGGCCGGAGTGTCCAGGGTGAAAGTCCCCGAAATCTTAATTACGTTTGCATAACGTAGATAATTAAAGTGTTGAAGTGTTTTATTATGAGTTGTAGTCTCATGTGAATTGTTGAAAAGTGGAAGTGTTTTAATATGAGTGTAGTCTCATTTATTTGTTTGGCCAGATTCTAAGCCATGTTTATGAATCGAAATTGTATAAGTGAAGGAAAGTGGAATGAAAAATGGATGTATCTTTTGTTGAATTGAAAAGTATTGTAAGTTGGTTTATAAGTGTTAACCATCTATCGAATGCTACTGTTTTAGTTATTGCTCATATTTGGTTTAGTATATCTCTACTGGGCTGTGGCTCAACCTATATGAGACATCATTTTCAGGTTCAGATGGTATGCCACCTCCAAGGACGTAGCTTGGGAGGCTTAGAGGTTGAAGAACTTTTGTTGTTTATCTTTTTGTGTATTACATGTAAATTTCAAGCCAAGGGATTAATGTGTTTTGAGTTAGTACTCTCCTTTTTGTAACCAAGTGTTGGCTTGGAAAGTTGTAAGCCCGTGGGGCATTTACTTTTGTTGTCAACATGTAATACTTTTGTACTTAATACTTTGATGAATGGAAGTATGCTGTATTCTCTTAAGTTTATGGATGTCATGAATGTTGGGATTATATGTATATTTTTAGGGCGTTACAAAGTGTGCCTTGTGTCCACCTCTTCAGCATATCTAGTGCAGCTTTGGGTTGATCCATTGGAACAAAGTGTCCAGCATTATATGCCTGATTGATGTTGCAACAAAGAAATTTGTCAAAAGTTGGAATTTGAGAGAGAGAGAGAGAGAGAGAGAGAGAGAGAGAAAGAGAGAGACCTTGAGGAAAGTTAGGGGGCCATAGCTTTGCATATAGCGACCCTGGTTTTCCCTCCATTCATTATTGTATCCTGGGCTTAGGTTCCGTGGTGTGGAATGTTGTATATATCTTGTTTTCGTCCTTCAATACTTTGTATTTGAGTTATAGGATGTTTTGGGCAGGATTGTTACAGGTTGGGTGTGATTGGAAGCAAATGGTTGCTGCCCAGAATTTTGGTTCTTCGCTCGAGCGAGGCTTTTGTCGCTTAAGTGAGCTTTGTGTTTTAGTTCCTTCGCTCGAGCCAGGGTTCCTTCGCTCGAGCGAGAGTTGAGTTTTGTGTCTGGTGGCTCGAGTGAGAAGTCTTGCGCTCGAGCTTGCGTCTGGATCAGGTTCTGGACCTGAGAGTTGCATTTCTTCGCTCGGGCGAGCGAGCTGTATGTTTTGGATTTCTTCGCTCGAGCGAGCATTCTGTCGCTCGAGCATGCTTCTGGGTTGCAGACCTAAAGCTTCGTATTGTTGGCTCGAGCGAGACTTTCTACGCTCAAGCGAGTATCCTTTGTGTCTGGTCGCTTAAGCGACCACTCTTTCGCTCGGGCGAGCTTGGTGTATTTCAGTTGACAGCAACGGGATTACACTTCACTTTTTCATCTCCTTTTTCTCTCAAACCCTAGATCCGTCCTCTCTCTCTCTATACACCTTCTCTCTAGGGATTGATCTACTTATAATGTATTTCTACCCTAACTTCTTTGTAAGAAAAATAGAGGGTGACTTGGGCTTCCTTTTAATCTGAAAATTTATGGGTTTGGAGCACTTTGGATTTTGACCATTTTCTCTATTTGGTCTCTCCATTTCGAGGTGGGGATACCCTACTCCATCTTATGGGTTTTTACATAAACTTTAGTCATTTTGATTAGTTGGTATTGTTGGGTAATATTGGGAAAGTTAGGGTTTGTTATGTAATTTATAAAAGAGGGGTTTTCAAATATTAAAACCCATGTGTATGTGAGATAATAGATAATGGAATTATTGTTGTTAGATTGGTGAAATCGAACCTTCTGGTTGATGTTGAGAAAGGGGGAAAAATGCCCCAATTATTGAAATAAATTAATTTGTATAATTAATTTGGGGAAATGTGGAATTGAGTTGAGGATAATGAAATTGAGAAATTATGGGGTTAAATGGTGTAGTTGGATTAGTTAATCACTCACCTATGAGAATATGGATATTATATCTGTTTGTTGCATTTATTATCTGTTTAGAAATAACTGCTTGGGCTATCGGTGGAGGATAGTCTTGATTGTTGTAGACGTTGTTTGTTGATTAGGGAAAACTAAAACTAATCACATTGAATATGTCATTGAATATGACGATTGAATTAATACAGTAAATATGTGTATTGATTGATTATTGTATATGACAAGTGTTAAATACATTGTATATGCATATTATTTGGGAAGAGATAGGGGATGTAATCCATGGTTTGAGAGGAGATAGGGGATGGACTCTCAAACCTATTAGGGAGGAGATAGGGGATGGACTCCATTGATACAGCAAATATGTGTATCACTTGAAGTGTTAATACAACAAATGTGTGTCTTAAATTGAAATATTGGAAGTTTTTTTAATGTGAGTTGTAGACTCATTTGAATTGTGAATAAACGAAATGTTTTAATATGGGATGTATGCCCATTTAATTGTTTGGCCTGGTCCTGAGCCATGTTTATGAAATGATTTGGATAAGTAAAGGAAAGTGGAATGTAACATGGACATGATTGTCATGGAACTGTATTGTGATATAATTTGGTTTATAAGTGTTAATCATCTATCAAATGCTATTGTTTTAGTTAATTCTCATATTTGGTTTAGTATATCTCTATTGGACATCGGCTCACCCTATATGGACATCATTTTCAGGTTCAGGTGATATGCTACCTCCAAGGACATAGCTTGGGTGTTTCTGGGAGTTGAGGACTCTTTTTGGTTGTTTGTTATTTTGATATTACATGTAAATTCAAGCCAAGGGCTTAAAGTGTATTTGAGTTAGTACTCTCTTTTGTGACCAAGTGTTCGCTTGGAAAGTTGTAAGCCCATAGGGCATTTACTTTTGTTGTCAACATGTAATATTTTTGTACTTAACTACTCTGATGAATGGAAAGATGTTTTATTCTCTTATATCTATGCATGTTAAGAATGTTGGGTTTTATGTATTATTTTGAGGGCGTTACATTGCATGACTCCTTCCTGTACACCATCAACTAAAAAGAAAGCAATGGGAGCATTTGTGAAGTTTTTCTGACCAGACCATTGCATGGCAGTAACCCATTTGTAATTTCCTGCCCAATCCAAAACACACCGTGATTGTAAATGTTGCTAAAGAGACTACCCCATGGTTTCAAAAAACCATACATGAACAAACAAACATTAAAAAAAATTCAACTATAGTACCGATACATGAACCATTCATTCAAAACAGACATTAAAAAAATCGTACATCAACTAACAAACATTAAAAAAGCTACCAGAATCTGTTTGAAAATAATAAAAAACAAAATAGTACAGCATAATTAGTACCGATGGTTGAGTTACCATAATAAAACAACAAGTGCAAGCATTGTGGGCAACCACAGTTACTAACATCCTACTTAAGCACAACGACAAACAAAAGTACCAACAAAAGGATCATAATAGTAAAACAAAGAAAAGCGTTGCATCCACAACAAACCCAAAACAACCACTTCTCGCTAGTACGAGGCACTTGAGTAGGTGTAAGATGATATACCCCACCATCATAGTCATCTACCCAGAAGAAGGAGCCCCTGTGATTATCCCAATTAGGACAATGGAAAAAATAACGACCATTGTTTGCTTCGGTGCGAGCCATAATCACCAACATTGGACCAGCGCCACGTGAACAATTTGGTGTCACTTTCATCTGCATATGGCGTCAAATTAACAATCCCATTTTCAAATATATAAAACAAAACAATTTATATTGTGAAGTTTAGATACATAAAAAGTGTTTACTGTACAACTAGATTGATTAACCTACTTTGATTATGTGGTCCATTTTTTTCAATTACCAAAAAGCATCTACCTAGTTGTAATCTACCTATTATTGTATGCTTCCCACATAGATGCTGCAACCTCATCTCGCCATTGTCCCATCGGCAGTAGTTGTTCACGTGACATGTTGATATGGTTGTGTTGTTGCATAGCTGGTACTCCATCTTCATTTTCGTGCACATTTTCAACTCCAACTTCACCCTGAACTTCACTTGCACCTTCACTTCCACCTTCACCTTCATCTTCATCTTCATCTTCGTCGTCATCTTCATCTTCATCTTTTTCACTTGATTCTTCTGCATTAAAAAATTCATCCTGCTCTTACACCATCTGGATCCAATTGTGGAGAACACAACATGCCATAACAATTGGCCCTTGCCGTAGCATATCATAGTGTGGCATGTGTTTCAATAATGGAAACTGTTGCTTCAACACTCCAAAGGTTCTTTCTATAACATTCCTCAAAGAAGAATGTCTATGGTTGAACAACTCCTTTGGACCATGATAGCGACGCCGCCTATTGAACTCTTGCAAATGGTATTTTTGGCCACGATATGGGGCTATGAACCCGGGCATGTGTGTATACCCGACATCAATGAGATAATACTTGCCTATAGTAAAACACTTTTAGTAAGAACAAATAATGGCATATTTGGTGATCACAAAAATAAAATAAAAAATAAAATAAAAACTACACTTACTAGGTGGCGGGTGTGGAAAATCAGCGGTAGTTGTGGTAAGTGCTTGTAAAAAAATTCTCGAATCATGTGCACTACCTTCCCAACCAGTGTATACAAATGTAAACTTCATGACAAATGAACATGCAGCCATCACGTTTTGAGTAGTATTCATTTTTCTACCTCGCTATGGCATTTGGTCAGCTTCTGGTGCCACAACAGTAATATGTGTGCCATCTATGGTCCCTACATAGTCCTACATGACATAAATTTTGAATGCTTTGAAGGAACCAAAATTGGCCAACCTTTTCATCCTTTGGTGTATTCATGCATTTAATGTACTGTACTTATTGTCGCAGCTATATTAGGTCATGAACATATTCATTTCATCATAACTTTGAATTAATTTATCAATTTAATCTTCAAGCCATATAAAATAATTCAAATCAATTGGCATTTATGTTACCTTAAACCATGGCCAGTAGCATCTGTCATTCTGAATTTTAGGAGGGGTTACAGCCATATTCAGTGGTTGGATTACAAATGGCACAAGATTTCCCAACGCCCGCTTCATAAGTACAAAATGTCGATGAATTGTCTCATTTGAGTGCTGAAATCGATCTCCAGCATTTCTTGTGCCAAAACTTTGACCACAAATAAATAAAAACATAGCCAACGACTCTTCTAGTGACAATCTCATGTTTGACCAGTCTACAACATTTTTACGGACAATCTGTTTAACCAATTCCATAAATGTCGTGATTTCCATACGTAATTGGTTACGGATTGATTTCAAATTTCCACTCAGTAAGAATTTTATGTACTGATCATCAGTGTGTGGACAATTACGTTGCTGGTGTCTCGTAGGAATGTCACTTGTTAGTTGACAAACCATGTGGTAGTCCATCACATCATCGTCATCATCACTATATGGGTCGTACATATTGTTTGGTTGCCTTTCATTGGGTCGTGACGACGACATCTAAATTGGAAAGTGTAAAACAATCAATGTATTAACTTTAATGATATGAGTATAGCACTAAAATTTTAACAAACACATGTAAAAGAGCATGGTCAGAGAAGTACGAAATAAGAAACATTGGCATGCACAATTAATGATAATATTGCAATAACAAAGAAGGGGGGAAATAAATTAGGACAACATAGTGCTCAGTCTAAATCGAAACCACATAAAAAGAAGGAAATAACAAATTGGGGCAAGACCTAACATAGTCTAAACCGAAAGCAAAAAAAAATGAAAAAAAAAACATAAAACAAAACAAAAGCAAGTTATAAAAAATAAAAAATAAGCCTAAACAATTCTGTAAGCATCTTCATTTCCTTGTGACAAACTATGTCGACCTTCAAAGTATGTTGACCTTCACCTCAAACCGAACTATGGGATGACCAAGCTTCTCACAAACTGAGGATCCAAAGGTACCTCATTTCTAGTTCCATGGTCATAAACATGGTTCGCCATTCTAGTGATGTGAACATGTTCATGGCCTTTAAAAACAAGCTTGGATCCAAGGCCATTGATTTTAGGATGGCCATACATGTTGAAATGGAGTACGCATCAACTGCCCCAACGTTTGCCTTTGCTCGAAGGTAAAACCATTCACATGCGTCACATGAACGTTGCCATGATTGCACTGCATCATCCATTCTTGGGTTCTTGCTGGACTAACCCTGCCCACTAGACGTACGCTTACTTCCGGAAGTGCAAGATTCATCTACTACGCCTTTCCTCGACGTATATGCATGAAAGTGTTCATCCATTTCTCGCTCATCATCAGATGTGGGTGCACCCTGACGAGAAGAACGGGCAAAAGCACCAGTGGCAAATGACTTGGAAAATATTTCTGACATTAGCTCATAATGTTCAAGGCCTTTGGTTTGGAATTGTTTTGCATTTGGGTGTGCCTACAAGTTGTAAACATTAATTAATCTTTTAAAAATATATCTCTCTATACACATGGTTGTGGTAAATGTATGCGCCAAAATAATTACCTGAACATAATTTTCCCAAACATCATCTGGGGCTGTCACAGTTTGAGTTATTGGATCCTAGCCCAAACCCGTGTGGTTTTTTAGAGGGGGAAATTACTATGTAGTCCTGTGTAGGGGACCTATTTTCCTTCTAATCCCAATATATTTTTAATAGATTAATAGGTCCACAATGTTTTAAGTTTTATACCCAGAGGTCCTGTTTTTTATTTTTGTATTTTGTAAATGACTGTATTACCCTTTGTTTTGAGATCTATATATACGTGAAAAATCAAATTTTTGCTTCGTTTAAAAAAGAAAATCAAATATTCGGTTCTGCGATCTCGATTTCTCTTCGTTAGGGTGATCTGATTGTACTGTGAGGTGGATCTGGTTATGCGATCTGAATCTCTGTGTATAGGCGATCTCTGCGTACGTTCTTTTTTTTTTCTCTCTCTCTCTCTCTCTCTCTCTGTATCTAGTTTGTATATGTCGATACATATATGTATGTATATATAGGTAAGCAAATTTGCGTGATGTCTGGATTGTGTTTGGCAATGTTGCTTTTGTTCTTTGTTTTGTGATAAATTTTGTTTGTTTGATACTTATTTATTTAATTTTTGTATGTGATATAGTCTAATGATTTTGATTTGGTTGATTTTGTTTGTTGTATAGTGTAATGTGTTTTGAAGTTGTAGTTTAGAATTGTGAATTTTGGTGTTTTGATACTGATATGTTGTAAGTGTATAATTTTGTAGTTTGGAATTGTGAATTGTCCACTGTTGGTACTGATATGTTGTAACTGTATAATGTTGCAATTTGGAATCTGTGAACAATTGTTTGGTGGTTTGTGATTTTGTAGTATGGATGGATGTTTCATGTTAATGTGCAAATATAGTAATTCTTGTGCTGCTATTAAGATTAGTGAGGGATGTAGTTATAATGAAGTTGTTAAGAAAATATGTACGAAATTCAAGGAGTTGAATGTTGGTAACTTTTGTTTGTTTTTCTCTATTGCTGGATATTCTAATTGTATTGTTGAATGTGATGATGATTTGTGGAATATGTTGTCAATGGTAGGTGGTAGTGGTTGTCATGCTGTTGATGTTGTTGTGGGTGATAAGAGAATTGTGGAGGTTGATGATGGTAATTCTTGTAGGATTGATTCTGTAATTTGTGAGAGTTCTTTGGTTAACGATTGTGATGATTTTGGTGGTTTGTTGCCTAGTTTTTATCCAGAACCAGAGAGAGTTTTGTTGTCTACTAGTTGGAAGGGAATTATACATAGTGTTGGTCAAGAATTTGAGGTGGAGTGCCGGCGTTCCGTATTGCATTGGCTAAGTATGCAGTTGAGTGTGGTTTTGCAGTGAATTATTTGAAGAACGATGCAACAAGAGTAACTGCTGAATGTATGATGAAGTCGTCTACGGGTTGTAAATGGTTTGTGCATGGAAGGGTGTTGATGAATTCCGGTATTTTTTTTATAATGAAGTTGGATAATGTGCATACTTGTGGGGTTGTTGCTCGTAGATCTTGTAGCAAAATGGTTGGTTCTAGACTTGTGTCTGATATTGTGCAAAATGATATTAGTGATAATCCGTTGACTCGTCCTATTGAAGTTAAAAAAAAGTTGAAGAAGCAATATGGTATAGATGTTTCTTATCGGGTTGCATGGTTAGGAGTTGATAAGGCAAGAGGTGGGTTGTTTGGTGATTTTGCAACTTCTTTTGACCAGCTTCGATGGTACCTTGAGACGGCTATGAGAACGAATCCGGGAAGTGTGTTTGAATTAGATGTGGATGAAAGTAGTGGGTGTTTTCGGAGGTTGTTTGTGGCATTTCATGGATGTTTGTATGGCTTTCAATTTTGTCGTCCGTTGTTGTTTGTTGATGGTACATTTTTGAAGGGGCGTTACAAGGGGCATTTGCTTGCAGCAACATCAAAGGATGGTAATCAAGGTATGTATTTATTTGCAGTTAGTATTGGTTTAGTTTGTCAGTGTGTTATTGTATTGTAAGTCTGCTAATTTTTGCAGTTTGATTTGGTTTTGTTTGCAGGTTTGTTTCCTTTGGCTTTTGCGATTGTTGACGCTGAAAATCAAGATAATTGGATGTGGTTCTTAAGTCAGTTGTTGAAGGCTGTTGGTTCAGGCCGGAGATTGACTTTTGTGTCGGACCGTCAACATGGATTGCTAGACGCTCTTTCAGTGGTTTTCCCCAATGCACATCATGCTTTTTGCTTGAATCATTTGAAGAGAAATTTGATTGACAAATTGGTGGGACTTCGTACTAACTATAAGCTGTGTTTGATGAAAATATTAGTTAAATGTGCTTATGCGCCAACGGTTGCTTCTTTCCAACATTATATGGAGAAATTGAGGCGTATTGCTGGGAATGGTAGAGTTGATAGTATGTTGGATGGTTTGCAAAATGATAAGTGGGCCAATGCATTTTTTAGAGGGAAACGATATGGTGAAATGTCATCTAATGTTGCCGAGTCTTATAATAATTGGATTGGTGGGGCCCGTGAATTGCCTATTACTTGTATGGTTGATATGATTAGGGTTCAAATCATGACTCAATTGTCGAATAGAAGAGCTGAATCTAAAAGATGGACTATGAAATTATGTCCAATTATGGAAATGAAGTTGGTGGACTCTTTGAAGGCAGCTAAGTCTTGGGATGCGATTGTTGCTAGTGATACTGTGCTCGAGGTTCATTCTTCTATTTCTTTTCATGTCGATATTGGTAGACAGACTTGTTCTTGCCATGAATGGCAATTGAATGGTTTTCCTTGTTGTCATGCTGTGCATGCTTTACGTAGTAGTGGTAAAGATGTGTATGATTTCATTGATCCCTTTTTTCATGTAGATTGTTTTAGAAATTCATACAAGGAATCTGTTTATCCAGTTCCTTCAAGTGAGAGATTTGACTTTGATGGTGCCAGTAGTTCGATTATCAAACCTCCTATAACGAAGAAGTAGCCCGGGCAGAACAAGAAGAAGGGGATACCTTCTAGGGGTGAGAATGTGAAGCAAATCAAGTGTGGGAGGTGCTTGAAATATGGGAATCACAATAAGAAGACGTGCAAGACTGCTATTTGAGGCCATAGCCTATTCTTTTGGATTTGTATTTGAATTTGAGGAATTATGATAATAAAAAATGTGATAAAGTTGATT